TGCGAATACCGTAGACGAAGGAGTTCAGCGCTCTCGATGTTGGCCCGTTTCCCTTTGCCCCGTTGGAATTGACGGGTTGCCCAAACGATCCAATGCAGACCTTGATGCAACCATGTCCAAGGTCATCGCAGAAGCACATTCCGCTGGCCAGCACGTGGTATTGGCGCGAGAAGAATTTGCAGCTCCCAGCTCACTCTAATCGCCGCCTGCGCCTATCGTGAAACGGCTCGACATCCAAAAGGACGAGCGACCAGGGCCGAAGAGCCGATCCACTGCTTTTTCGTTGGGGTCCTCGATAAGATTATTCATGACGCCACGGGCTGGCGCTGCATAGGCTGTGGTCAAAGGGGGGATCAATTCCAGCAGCCGTCAAGTTCTTCATTCAACAGGTGATGCCGCGTCTCGCTGAGCCAGCACGGTGTTTTGATTGAAGTGGTGGACAAGCGAGTGAGCTGGCGAGAAGGGAGGCAGGGAGTGCGGTCAACCCGCATGGTAAGGATGGGCAGCCTTCCCAAGGGTACCCTTGCATTCTTGCCCCTTCGGCCCATCCCTAGCGACTTTTGCTGGCCAACCTAGTTCGAAAAACGCTAATGTGGCCCTCCAAGGCCCTTGCATTCTTGCCGCCCATCCTTATTGTACGGGTCGACTGTAGAAGTTCGAGTGCGAGGAAAGCAGAGGGAGGGGGTGGCAGGCGGAGCAGTCCTTCGGTGCCCGATGCAAGTTCTCCCGAGGTACACGTTCCTGCAGAACTTCTACAAGCAGTTCCCGCGGTACATGGGCAACCAGTTCTACCTTTTCGGGGAGTCGTACGCTGGGCAGCCAGGGCAGTTAAGACCACAGTGACGGTGAGACTTGTCACCATCATTGTGGCAGCGAAAACCACAGTCCCGCTACCCCCCCCCTTCCTCCCTTGCTCCTCCTCTTCTTCCTCACACTTCCCCCCCATCCTCCCGCCATACCCCTCTCTCTTCGGTGCCCTACTCATCCTCCCTCTTCCCGGTCCCCTCCTCCTCCTCCTCCTCCTCCATCTTCCTATATATATATATATATCTATTTATACATCCCCCCTGTCGCACCACAAGATGTATCCGCAGGCCAGGCTGGCCGCTTGTTTCCCGGTTGAAGTCCATCAGTTACTGGGATGGAGGGGCGGTCGTTTCTAAAAAGGTGTTGCCGCTTGAGCGTTGCGTGCATTCGTTTTCAACGTCCCCAACAGTTGAAAGGATAAAGGGCTATGTTTTGTCAAAATGCGACTCTCGCCTTAGCGCTGTACGCGCTCGTCTTCCCAAATCTATCAGTCTCACACACTGCGGGGGCGTAGTTTTTCAATGCGGCTCTCGTCCTAGCACCGCGCACACTGTCTTCAACCGCTCCCAGCAGTCACAAGGATGGAAGCCAGTCCGTTTCCAAAATACGGTTTTAGTTTGAGATTATGTTGATTTCGACGACCTAAACTTCCGCATTGCGCAGCCGCTGCTCGGTGGGAGGGAGGCTCTTCTTCAAAACCGTGATCTCGCTCGAGACTTCCTCACATTTCATCGCCAGGAATGCTTGATTGTGCAACGCACCCAGATGGATAAGATGCTTGTCTTTTTCAAACCAGCGCCACCGCCAGAACCTTCTTGGATTCTGTGAGCCAGCCTTTCAGCGTTTCTGCCAGCTAGAGTTAAGTCGGACATGTCCCCCTTCAGGAGGAACATTCAGCAATAGTAAGGACAAATAGTCTGGGGACGATGTTTCAACTACATCGGCCCAGTGAAAGTTCCTTGAATTTTCGTCACATCATCGCTCGCTCGCGGAAGCCGACGGAAGTACAACGAGGCGGAAGACAGCGGAAGGCCGTCGGAAGGCTTGCGGAAGACAGCGGGAGTGAATGACGCCCCGTCCGAGCCCCCCTTCCCACCCCGTAGAAGCCTAGCAATGTAGTCATCTGCCGTGGGCCAGGCGGGATCCCGCCTAACTTACCTCCCTTTATCTTATATTTTTAATTCAGCCAGGCTAACATCCCACCCAGTAAAAATGGGGTAAACAAATATCCCGGGTCGTTCACGGATCCCGCCATGCTAGGATCGGCTCGAAGTAAGTTTGGGACCCGGAGTAGTAGCATTCATGGCGTTTCAGGGTCGTCTTGAGGTCATCTTGAGATCATATTTCGGTCATGCTTGGATCGCGCAGCCGTCGCGTGCCCATTCTGGGGCCACCCTGGGCGCGCGTGGATCCATCTTGTTGCCATCGGGCCATCTCGGCGTCACGCGTGGCTCCATGGTTTGGTCATCTTCGGGTCGGCCTGAAACGGTCCAGAACCCATGGCGGGATCGTGTCGTGGTGGCGTCATCCCAGGGTCGGCTGGACGCTATCGCCTTTGGCCGCAGGCCTTCCTGGAACCATTTTGCGGCCGTGGAGGTGTCTTGGGATCGCGCGCGCGGGCGCTCAGCACGCGCGCGCGACAACTCATCTTGCCGATGGGCGTACACACATACATTTCTTGTTGCGCATTGTCAAGGAAACTTTTCTTGGAGCCACGTATTTTGATAATGTTTCATGCTTTTCTTCCAGAATCGCCTGCAGGAGGACACTCCTGACCTAAAGCTAGAGGGACGGAGGGTGGATCCTCTACGCCCTCCTCCTCCTGCTCTTCCTCCTCTTTCTCCTCCTCCTCCTCCCTCTTCCCTCTTCCTCCTCCTCCCTGCTCCTTTTCCTTCTCCTCCTCCTCCTTCTCCTCCCTGCTCCTTTACCTGCTCCTTTTCCTCCTCCTCCTTCTTGTCCTCCTCCTCCCTCCTCCTCCTTCTCCTCCTCCTCCTTCTCCTCCGCCTCCTCCTCCTCCCTCCTCCTCCTCCTCCTCCTCCTCCTCCTCCTCCTCCTCCTCCTCCTCCTCCTCCCGGCGGGGCCTCGCCCGAGTGGCGGGCCCCTGGGGCGCTCGCCCCTTCGAGTGGTGGGGGGGCGCGCTCTTCTGGCGGTCTCTCCCGTGGGGGGGGCCCTGCGGCGGAGGGGTGTCTTGCAGCACTGCTGGGGAACCCTGGCCCTGTTCCGGGGCCTCGCAGCTCTCACCAAACCACCAGACCACCCCAGCCCAACCCGAAGGCCTCTAGATGCCCTCCGTTTCCAGTGTGGGGGGGGTCGGGGAACATGGAAAAAACACATGAAGCCCGTAGCCCCCCCAACCCGAAATTCGGGTTTTCGGGTTGGGTTGGGGTGGTTTGGTAGGTAGTCAAGCTCTGAAATGATGCTTCCGTTGCTGCCGGATCGATTGGTATAGACGCGAGCTCTGTAGCTGCTGCGATTCTCGAGATCGAGTCTGCAAGCCGAACGGTTGCAGACACAGGGGCGCAGAGTGCGAGAGTGGTGTTTCGGCCATAGCTCGAGTAGCAGACCTCCCTCCCCCCCTCGCCCACCCCTTCCCCCATGCCATCACCGCTTTCCCCCTCTCCCCCGCCCCCACTCATCTCCGCCTTACCTCCCCTGCTCCAGGCTTCCTCCTCCTCCTCCTCCTCCTCCTCCTCCCCCTCCTCCTCTTGTCGCTCTCTGCACTGCAGCGTCGTCGCCTTGCACGCGCCCGCCCTGAAGGCGGCCAGGCGCGGCCATCAGAGATTTGTTGTCCCTTTGGTCTGGGTCAGGGGCTGCGGCTTGCAGGCCGCAGGGATCTAAGCAGAAGTTTCGTGGAGAGTCTCGCACGGCGCCCCTCCCCCCCCAAAAAGGGTGGCAGATGCGACCGTCCCCCATAGTCTCGGCTGCCGTGAGGCACTACGTCCCGGCCATCTCCCACCGAGTCTGGCGGGGCAACAAGGCAGGGGAGGGCGTCAAGATCCCTCTGGCAGGCCTGGTGGGAGGGAGGGAGAGAGGAGGGAGAAAGACGATGGAAGGACGAGGAGCATGAGGGCGGGAGGAGGAGGAGGAGGAGGAGGAGGAGGAGGAGGGCGGCGGAGTTTCCCAAGAGGGGGGATGATGATGAGGAGGAGAAGGAGGACGACGACAACGCGGAATCATGGTGGTTGAAGAGGAGGAGGACCATAGGAAGCCCAGCACGCACCGCTGATGTTTCAATCCACCCTGCCGTCCCAAGTCTCCTCATTAGCCAAACCATCTAACCATTCCACCCATCTTTAAGGCGAGAAGCCACTGGAGAGGTGAGACACATTCGCTTGGATGCGCATCAGCGCAACTGCGCCGAATCCAGACTGGGCTGCATAACGTTGCAATATATCATGTGTGTAGCTGCTGGCAACATCAAGCCTTGCGATCATAGGGTATGAGGGAGTCTCTGGCGAGAGCAACATTTTTCAAATGAGCCGCCCTCCATCCGTGTAGTGGTTGGGAACCGTTTAAAAGAGTGTGCGAGGCGCCAGTGCAGACAATAACCACTGCTTGGGAACCTCCCGATGTATTTCATATGACCCTGGGAAGTGCCGAGCTTCAGGATCACACGTCGCTGGGAAGTCCCAAGCGAAACGCCAAGCCCACCCTACCAACGCCTCCGGTGGCTTGGCGAAGATGAGCTGTTCATCAGAACGGGGGGAGGATAAGCAGAGTGATCCCAAGATGCATCAGCGATGCTGCTATACGCCCTCCTGTCACGAGTCCCCTCCTCATAAGTCCCAACATAGATTCCTCTTCACTACAAGAGGAGCCCCCGTGAAAGACCAGCACCCCCGTGGACCTGCCATTCGGGCGAGAGCCCCGTTTTGAGGAGGAACCGCCTCGCATCTCTCCAGGCACCAGCACGACGGCGAAAGTGTATGATCATACAGTTCACCGAGAAGTCCAGCGAGGTCCTCGTTTTCGAGAAAGGGCCGCGCGTCCATGCGTGCATCTGCTGCACAAGTTTGTGCTTTTGGTCATGGCCTCGAGCGAGGATGTCTCCAGCGGGAGCCCGCCCTCGAGAGGGCGCTGCGCTCCGTCCGTGCAGGTGTCGTACCTGCTGAGGTTTCTGGTCTCTGGGATGTCTCCAGCGGGAGCCCAGCTTTGAGCAAGGAAGCGCCCACCAGCCTTGCAACTGCTGCAAGCTTTTCAAGACGAGCGTGCGCGGCGCCAGGGCGAGATCCCATTTTGAAAAGAGCCGTCCTCCACCATTGTAGTAAGTGCTGCAAGCTTTCATGGCGACTGTGCGCGGTGTTGGGCGAGAGCCCCATAGGAACGACGCGTTCTCCATCCTCGGACCAGTTGTATTTTGGAGACGAAAGCGCTCGGCGCTAGAGCGAGAGCTACATGTTGAAAAGCACATGTGCTCTGTGCTTGTACGTCTTGCAAGTTTTTGATACGAGTGTGCGCGGTGCTAAGGCGAGATGCCCATGTTACACCCGACTCCCTCATCTTGTGTAGCTGTCGCGAGTTTTACGCTTCAAGATGATGCATGGCGAGAGGGGGTATCTGACAAAACGCACCGCCTGCCCTACCGACACGTCTGGATGGGCGGCAGGGGGAGTTTTCTATCAGGAACGGGATGGACGATGAACAGGTGGGTGATGATGTTGCTCTTAATGATGATGATACTGATGATGCTGATGATGGTGATGATCATGCTGATAATGATGATGCTGCTGATGACGATGATGACGATGATGATGTTGATGCTGCTGTTGATGATGGCGATGCTGCTGATGCTGATGATGATGATGCTGATGATCGTGGAGGTGGTGATGCTGATGATGTGTATTGTTATCATGATGACGATAAAAATGATGCTGATGATACTTATGCTGTTGATGATGCTGCTGACGATGGTAATGCTGGCGGTGATGATGCTGATGATGCTGATGCTGATTATGATGGTGATGCTGATGACGATGCAACTGATGCTGATGTCGATGATGGTGATGCTGCGGACGTCGATGATGCTGTTGATGCTGATGATGATGCCGATGCTGATGATGCTGATGATGCTGATGATGGCGATTGTTAGTATGATGACCATGATGGCGATGCTGCTGCTGATGATGATGTTCATGCTGACGATGGTGATGGTGATGATGGCGACGACGACGACGACGAGTGTGACTACGACGATGGTGCTACTGCTGATGGTGGTGGCGGTGTCGGTGGTGATGAGGATGATGACGAAGTTGCCGATGACGATGAGGATGCTGCTGCTTCTGCCGCTGCTGCTGATGCTGCGGATCATGATGATGATGCCGATGCTGGTGACGATGCTGATGCTGATGCTGATGCTGATGCTGAGGTCGATAACGCGGCTGATGATGCTGATGATGATGCTGATGGTGATGATGATGATGATGATGATGATGATGATGATGATGATGATGATGATGATGATGATGATGATGATGATGATGATGATGATGTGATGTTGTTGTTGATGCAGTCCAACGCTGGGGCCCTGCCCCCCCCCACCCACACCAGCAACAGCACTCAGACTGGGGTATACCTAATAGTAACCTATTAGAGGTGGATTCGCCTGTAAGAGGAACTTATCAGAACTACATCCATCTCCACTAGGATTTTGTTAGAGCTGAATCCATGTCTCATAGGTTTCATTCGAGCTGGGTCCATCCGTTCAGCAGGGCTCTACTAGAGCAGAGCCTACTTCTCATGGGGCTGGATTCGGGCTGAAACCATACGATGCATCCAGTATAGGTGGTTCCATGTCTAATAGGAGACTACTGGATACTATTGCGGGTGGATCCACCTTTGCGAGGATTCTTGTACAGGTGGATCCATGCCTAATCGGATTCTTTGAAAAGTCGCTCCGTGTGTTGTAGGATTCTGTTAGAGCGGAGTCCGTTTCTACTTGAGGTCCACCCCCAAGAGGATCTCATCAACGCTGGCTTCATGCCTACAAGGATTCTAGTAGAGCTGGATGCATCTCGTAGAAGATCGTAGTAGAGCTGGACCCATCTGTGATATGATTCCAGTATAACTGAATCCATCTCGTACCGGATCGTAGTAGAGCTGGATCCATTTCTAATCGGGTTCCATTCGGGCTGAATCCAGTTCTAAATGGGACCGTAGTAGAGCTTACTCCATCTCTAGTGAGACCGTCGTAGAACTGGATCCATGTCTAACAGGCTTCTGTCAGAGTTGCATCAATTTCTATTATGATTCTGCGAGGGCTGAATACATGCCTATTAGTATCGTGGTAGGGCTGGGTCCACTTCTCATGGGGGCGCAGCAGAGCTGGATCCACCTCTATCAGGATCATAGTAGAGCTGGCTCCGTCTGCTAGGGTTCTCATGGGAGCTGAATCCATGTCGGATAGGAGTCAATCGCAGGTGGATCCACTTCTAGTAGGGACCCATCATAGCTGGATCCATATCTATCCGGTTTCTTTTTGGGCTGGATCCGTGTCCAATAGGGTCGTAGTAGAGCTGGATCCATCTCTACTAGGATCTAAGTAGAGTTGGGTCCATCTCTAGTCGGAGTCTGTAAGAGTTAAATCCATCTTTGAGAGGATTCTAGTAGAGCTGAGGTCATCTCTGTTGGTATTCTCGTAGAGCTGAATCCATCTCCAATAGGGTCGTAATAGAGCTGAATCCAGGTCTCAAAGAATTCTTGTAGAGCTTACTCCATCTCTAATTGGATGGTAGTGGAGCTGGGCCCATATTGAATGGGCTTCTATTAGAGCTGAATCAGTTTCTATTCGGATTCTATGAGGGATGAATCCGTGTCTACTATGGCCGTGGTAGAGCTGGATCCATGTCTAAAAGGGCCGTAGCAGAGCTGGATCCACCTCTATCACGATCGTAGTAGAGCTGGTTCCGTCTGCTAGGGTTCTATTAGAGCTGAATCCATGTCTAATAGGCTTTCATTCCAGGTGGATTCACTTTTAATATGATCCCATCATAGCTGGGTCTACCGATATCCGGATTCTATTTGAGCTGGATCCATGTCCAATAGGATCGTAGTAGAGCTGGATTCATCTCCACCAGGATCGCAGTGGACGTGGGTCCATATCTAAACTGATTCAGGTAGAGTTGAATCCATATCGTAGAGGATCGTAGTAGAGCTGGATTCACCCTAAATCGGATTAACAGAACTGGATCCATTTCTTCAAGGATCGTAATAGAGCTGTATCCATCCCTAGTGCGATTTTATCATAGCTGAATCCGTATCTACTAGGGTCGTAGCAGATTTGGATCCATCCCTCACAGGATGCTATGATCGCCGAATCTTCGTTTAGGATTCTATAAGAGCTGAATCGTTTTCGAATAGGACCGTAGTTGAGTTGGACCCACCTGTAATAGGATTGTTTTGGAACTGGATCCGCTTTTTAGTATGATCGTAATAAAACTGGATCCATATGTAATATGATCGTAGTAGAGCTGAATCCATGAGTAGTAGGGTTGTACCGGAGCTGAATCTCTGAAAGGATCGTAGTAGAGCTGGATTCATATCTCATTGGGTTGTATTCGAACTGAATCCATGTCCAATAGGATCGTAGCAGAGATGGATCCATGGCATATAGGATCGTAATACGGCTGAATCCATGTGTGATAGGTTTCTATGTGAGCCGAATCCATCTTTAATGTGATTTTGTTAGAGGTGAATCCATTTTCAATAGGTGTCTATTAGAGCTGAATCCATCTCCAATAGGACTCCTTCAGAGCTGAACCCATCTGTAATAGGATTCTATTGGAGCTGAACCCATCTCCAATAGGATGGGATTTTCTTACAGGATGACCTTTGCCTGCTAGAATCGTAGCAGAGGTCACTGCGGGGAAACTCACATGGTTGTGTCTTCAGAGAACGAGTGGTGTAGTCTGAACTGCATATATTCTCCTGTATCTGTCTCCCAGTAATAGTGCCGTTGCTGTTGTGTGTGCGTGTGTGTGTGTGTGTGTGTGTGTTTGGAGGGTGCTGCTGGGCTGACTTTGCCCTTGTGCAGGACTCCGCCCCTGTGGTGGAGTCGGGAACCGGGACCATGGTGCACGGGGCCCCAGTGTAAGACTCCACCTAGTTGTTGTTGTTGGCGTTGTTGTTGTTGCTGATGCTGCTATTGTTGTTGTTGTTGTTGTGTTGTTGTTGTTGTTGTTGTTGTTGTTGTTGTTGTTGTTGTTGTTTGTTGTTTGTTGTTTGTTGTTTGTTGTTTGTTGTTTGTTGTTTGTTGTTTGTTGTTTGTTGGTTGTTGGTTGTTGGTTGTTGGTTGTTGGTTGTTGTTGTTGTTTGTTGTTTGTTGTTTGTTGTTTGTTGTTTGTTGTAGTTGTTGTTGTTGTTGTTGTTGTTGTTGAACATTATTTATTCTAAAGAATAATTATTGTTGGGCCCCCTGGTGCGCGCCCCCCCTGCGCCGCCTAGGCCGCAGCTACATTTTCATCATTTTCGTGAGGAAGCCTCAGGTAAACGATGTGTCAAGATCCGGTTGTTTTGTTGTAATCCGTTTTCCCTTGCAAAAAACACTATAAAATGACATTTCTTGTTCTAATATAATCAAATTTCAAGAATCCCTTGCAAAAAATAAGGTAAAGTGGACATTCGCGCGCGCAAGACGAAATCCTTCCAAAACCTTAGTGTTCGCAGCGATTTTAACATAAAAACATCAAAAAACCAATGGTTTTTCAACAAAAAATTGTCAAAATCTCATCCCGCGCGCTCTTGCGGATTCGTAGGAAACCCAACACTTTTTAAACATTTCTGTCAAACGGGCTTTTGCGAGCAACTTTTTCGAACTTCTGCGACAACGGTTGCGCACCTGCCAGGGCCATCATCCCTGTCAAATAATACCATGCGGGACACATTCGTTTTTTCTTCGCGCGCGCACGCCGAAATCTCCAAAAACCATTGGGCTTCTTAAGAATTTTAGCACCGCGCATCATAAAATCACACGAATCGCACCGTAGGTCCTCGAAAAACACCTGCACGACTTTTCAAAATTTCTACCCGCGCGCGCTGTCCTAACAACTTCTGTGGGTGTGTACTCCACGCCAGTGTAGTAGCCACGGTCGTCCGCAGGCCACGAAGTGAAGTGTCCGAACGTCATAGGGCGGGAAGCTGGGTGTGGGTGGTGGCGAAGAGTCGTGTGGATATTTGGTAGAGCTTGCACTGCCCCCCCACAAAGTGGGGGTATTGGCTGGCGTCGCATGAAAACCCTGGCACTGGTGAGAACACTGAGCGTTCGGGTAAAGTGATTGTTGTTGTTGTTGTTGTTGCTGTTGTTCGCGAGAACACTACTGGAGTCCCGTTGCTCGACCCCCCCCCGAGCAACGCCACGGGGCCTCGCCAGGCCGATGCGGGGGTCTGCAGGGCCCGGCGGCGTTGCTCGGAAGGTCCTTTCGGGGCTGCTGCGGAGTCCCATACAGGCCCCAAAGGGCGCACCCCTCTCACGGATCGTGGCCCTGGTCCTACAGGGAGCTCCACCGAGGCTTGATTTCGGCGCACCCCTCTCGAGGATCGTGGCTCAGGGAGCTCCACCGAAACTTGGTTTCGGCGCACCCCTCTCACGGATCGTGGCCCTGGCCCCACAGGGAGCTCCACCGAGGCTTGATTTCGGCGCACCCCTCTCGAGGATCGTGGCTCAGGGAGCTCCACCGAAACTTGGTTTCGGCGCACCCCTCTCACGGATCGTGGCCCTGGCCCCACAGGGAGCTCCACCGAGGCTTCATTTCGGAACACTCCTCTCGAGGATCGTCACCCTGGCCCCACAGGGAGCTCCACCGAAGTTTGATTTCGGCGCACCCCTCTCACGGATCGTGGCCCTGGCCCCACAGGCAGCTCCACCGAAGCTTGATTTCGGCACACCCCTCTAACGGATCGTGGCCCTGGCCCCACAGGGAGCTCCACCGAGGCTTCATTTCGGCACACCCCTCTCGAGGATCGTGGCTCTGGCCCCACAGGGAGCTCCACCGAATGTAGATTTCGGCGCATCCCTCTCACGGAACGTTGCCCTGGCCCCACAGGGAGCTCCACCGAGTCTTCATTTCGGCACACCCCTTTCGAGGATCGTGGCCTTGGTCCCACAGGGAGCTCCACCGAAGCTTGATTTCGGCGCACCCCTCTCACGGATCGTGGCCCTGGCCCCACAGGGAACTCCACCGAGGCTTCATTTCGGAACACCCTTCTCGAGGATCGTGGCCCTGGCCCCACAGGGAGCTCCACCGAAGCTAGATTTCGGCGCACCCCTCTCAGGGATCGTGGCCCAGGCCCCACAGGGGGCTCCACCGAGGCTTCACTTCGGCACACCCCTCTCGAGGATCGTGGCCCTGGCCCCACAGGGAGCTCCACAGAAGTTTGATTTCGGCGCACCCCTCTCGAGGATCGTGGCCCTGGCCCCACAGGGAGCTCCACCGAGGCTTCATTTCGGCACACCCTTCTCGAGGATCGTGGGCCTGGCCCCACAGGGAGCTCCACCGAAGCTTGATTTCGGCGCACCCCTCTTACGGATCGTGGCATTGGCCCCACAGGGTGTTCCACCGAGGTTTCATTTCGGCACACCCCTCTCGAGGATCGTGGCCCTGGCCCCACAGGGAGCTCCACCGAAGCTAGATTTCGGCGCACCCCTCTCACGGATCGTGGCCCTGGCCCCACAGGGAGCTCCACCGAGGCTTCACTTCGGCACACCCCTCTCGAGGATCGTGGCTCTGGTCCAACAGGGAGCTCCACCGAAGCTAGATTTCGGCGCACCCCTCTCAGGGATCGTGGCCCAGGCCCCACAGGGAACTCCACCGAGGCTTCATTTCGGAACACCCCTCTCGAGGATCGCCACCCTGGCCCCACAGGGAGCTCCACCGAAGCTTGGTTTCGGCGCACCCTTCTCACGGATCGTGGCCCTGGCTCCACAGGGAGCTCCACCGAGGCTTCACTTCGGCATACCCCTCTCGAGGATCGTAGCCTTGGTCCCACAGGGAGCTCCACCGAAACTTGATTTCGGCGCACCCCTCTCGAGGATCGTGGCCCTGGCCCCACAGGCAGCTCCACCGAAGCTTGATTTCGGCGCACCCCTCTCACAGGAGGAGGAGGAGGAGGGGGGCGGAACAATGAGGGGGACGACGCGGACGAGGTGTCAGAATCATACCGCGGGGGCAAGTGGCTTGTGAGCTCGTGGCAGCCACGCGTTCATACCGACGTTGCGTCTTGATCTGTCGATGCCAGCTCTTCTCTGCATTGAGGATTGAGGGGTCCCATAGGATTCCACAGAGACCTACATAACCCTGCAGGGCTCCATAGGTCTCCCATAGGAATTCTACGGGATCCCGACATGGTCCTACAGGATTCCATAGGAACCCTGTAGGAATCCTGTTGGAATCCTATAAGATCCTTGCAGGGTCCTACAGGAGTCCATCGGAAACCACTTGGAATCCTGATGGGGTCCTATAAGGTCCCTACAGGGCCCTACAGGATTCCATGATAATCCTATTGGAAGCCTTGAGAAAACCTCTAGGATCCCTGCAGGGCCCTAGAGGATTCCATCATAATGCTACTGGGATCCTATTGGAATCCTATGTGATCCTTACAGGGCCCTAGAGGATGCCATAGGAATCCGATTGGAATTCTATTGGAAATCTTATAGGGTCCATACAGGGTCCTACAGGATTCCATAGGACTAGTATTGGAAT